CTTGTACAACTATAGTTTGAAGCAGCCTGAGAAGAGTCACATTCAGGGTTTTCTAAGGAAAACGAAAGCTCACATATGACATGAAAAACACATTTTGTACCATTTCTAGGATTTTCTTGTCAAGTTTTTGCTTTGGGATTTTTCTAACCTGAAAAAGCACAGTAAGTCTGGAGGTTGCAATTTGAGAAACCATGTACTTTCTTAGGCCTTTGCATACAAAGTGCTCTATCTTCTTCTTAATATGCATCAAAGGAGAGATTCTGCATCATGGTTTCTATGTAGTGAATACAGAATATGATTTTCCCATAAGAGAACTCCTTCGAAAGTCTTTCTTCCCTAAGGCTTCCCAGTTCAGTAAGGGGCTGTACCATCACCTGTTGTTTTTCAGTTGAGAAGCGTGACCATATTCCTTTGACAGATGCCTCCCTTTCTCAATCCCCCAAAATCTAATTCTGTAACATATATGGTTTGTCCTTTGTCTTATTTATTTATTTATTTATTTACTCGGGATGAAACTCAGGACCTTGTGCTTGCGAGGCAGGTGTGGTACCACTGAGCTAAATCCACGGCCCTTGCCTAAATTTCTTGAAAATCCATTCACTTTTTCTCCATTTCTTTTGCTGTCTCTCTGGTCTAGGCAAATGGTTTCCTCTCCTTGTGTTGCAGTATCCTTTAGCCTCCCCTAGATTAATTCTTAGGCCATGTGTGGTGGTGCACACCTGTAATCCACCACTCAAGAGGCTGAGGCAAGAGGACTGCCTTGTGTTCGAGGCCAGCCTGAACTACATGCCTGTCCAAAAAAAAAAAAAAGACCAGTTCTCGTCTTTATCTCAATTTATTGTTCTCTAGCTAACATGAAGTCTTTAAATGACCATGTTGTTCCTTGCTCAACACTCTAGTGCCTTCCCAAACGCCCTTACAATAAAACCCTTCTGATTGCCTTTGTGGCTCTATACCACTAGACTCCAACTTCTTCACCTCCAGCCAACAACCCGTCTTCTTTCTTTATCCAGCCAAACTTGTCTTCTTTCTGTGCTGCAAATGGGCCAAGAATCTTCCATCATCAGGGTCTGTGCACCTCTCCTTCCTTTGCCTTGGAATTCCTTTCTGGCCTGCACACTTCTTCATCCCCTTCCCCAAGCCAGCAACTGAACTTTTAGGTCTCATTTTTCAGAAAGACTTCTCTAGCCAATCAAGTTTAGATTGGATTCCCTTGTTGTTTGCTCTTAGTAGCCAATGTTTCTCTTTCTTAGCATTTACCACGATTCTAATGATACTGTTATGCTGTACTTTTCATTTTTTTTCTACTGTTGGCATAGGTAATACATCCACATAATATAAAATTCAAACTGTACAAAAGATATGAAGTCTTCTAATCCTTTGTACTTGATATCTAGTTTTCCTTTTTTGAAGTAACCACCTTTAGTATTTTGCTTTCCAAAAATATTTTGAGTACACAAGCAATTATGTACATAATGTTCCTCTTTATTTTGCCTTTTAAAAAATTGACATAGTATAAGGATTTTTCTGCTTTGTGTTTATCTGTTAATTAGGTATCCTGGCAATTCTTATCAATTTGTGAATAGTTGCCTCTTTATTTTTCACGTGCCATATAGAACCAACTTGGCATAATTTGACTTTTATTATTGGGTCTTTAGATTGTTTTCAGGCTTTGGTTTATTACAAACAATGCTGCATTGAATATCTGTGTATGTTAAGCAATTTCCCGTATCTATATCTATAGAATAAATTCTTCTAATTGAAATAATTGAGCTAAAGGTTATGTGCATTTTTTTTTGAGACAGGGTTCCGCTATGTAGTTCAGGTTGACCTCAACTCGCAGTGATCCTCCTGCCTCAGCCTTCAGGTGTGAGCCACCATGCTCATTGAAGTTACGTGCATTTTTAATTTGGGAGTTATTGCCAAACTGCTTTTAATGGAGCTTTACTGCGTCACATTCCCACTAGCGATGTGAAGAATGCATGTTTCCAATTACAACTGTATCCGGGAAAGTTTTCGTTCCTTGCCAACCTAAGAGATAGAAAATATCTCCTGTAAATATGGATGTGCAAGTTTTTTTCTTCCTTGCAGTTTTATTTTCATATGTTTGAGATTCATTTGTACTTAGTGAACTGTTTCTTCATAAACTTTGCTTTAATGACTGGCCCCCCTTCAAAGTCGTTCTTCGGGATGCAGAGATCCGGTCTACTTTGTTAATTCCGTAGTTCTGGGCGCCAGAATGAGGGTCAGAGAAATGACGTGGCTCAGGTCATGCAATGTCAAGGTCAGAAATCATATTTGATTCTAAAGCCCGCAACGTTTTTCCAATGGACAAAATAAGCACTAACTGACCAGCCTGCTGAGTAAGGTCAAACACCTTAAGTACGCTGGGTGCTTAGGCCGGTGGATGGAGGCGAAGACTTGTTTATTATCTACGGTCCCAATCGCTGTCTAGGCGGCTCTTCATCGTGAGGCCAGATTCCTTCTGAAATCTCTCGATTTATTTCCAATTCAAAACAAGATTCCGGAAGGATAAAGGAAGCTTGGATTGCGAGGGCGCAGCGGACGCCCAGACCCAGCGGACGCCCAGACCCAGCGGACGCCCAGACCCAGCGGCCAGCAGGTTTTTCCACACCGGAAATCACTCTGCCGCGCCGCTTCCTTCCGCTCGGAGATTTAGTTCCTGTCCTGCACAGGCTCCTCCCGGCGCTTTCTAGTACCCTGACTTCCGTTTGCCTGTTGCCTGGGCAACGATGACTTCCGGTTGCGCGTGGTGGGCGGAGCCAAGATGGCAGAGGAACGACGCAGGACGGTGAGTGCGGGGATTTTTTAGTGTGGGCATCAGCCGGCGGGGCATGACGGAGCTGGCCGGGCCGAGAAGCGGACTGGCTGGCGGCCTCTCGGGTTGCGTTCCAGAACCAGGTCGCTCCGCGTGCGGGAAGGAGGTTCGCGCCGGAAGCAGCTTTCTCCCAGCCCCGTCTGGTCCTCTTCGGGCTTGGAAGGGAGGCTCTGACACAGATGTGGAGACGTCTCTGGTAATCCTGGGTTAGGACTTTAAGGTGACACCGCCCGGGCCTCAGCGCCTGCGTTTCTATGCGGGTCCTTTTGGGAGCTCAGCTGGTCTGAGTGAGGGCTTGATGAGCTCCACGGATCTTCCTGCTACAGAGGATCCCAGAGGAACCCGGGACTACCCAGGAATGGGCAGTTAAATGTTTTAAGTATATGCGCTGCCGAAGCGACCACGGGGTATTTACATTTTTAAAAAATGGATATATCATAGCTGAGCGCAATGGCGCATCCCTGCCATCCCAGCACTGAGGGAGGCTGAGGCAGAAGGATCGCAAATTCGAGCCCAGCCCTGGGCAATTTAGCGATTTAGCGAGACTGTGTCTCAAAAAGTGAAAAAAGGGCTGGGAATATACAGTGGCTCAGTGTGAAGGCCCTGGGTTCAATCCTCAGTACTGCTCCCCCGGACATATAATTGTACATATTATGGTGTACAGTGTGATACATGGATACGGTGCAAAATGATTAAATCAGGATAATTAGCGTTTTCATTTCCTTAAATTTTTTTCATTGTGATTGGGAACCTTCACACTCCTTTCCATTTTGTTGTTGTTGTTTTGGGAATTGAATCCCGGGCCTTTGCACTGAGCTACACCCTCAGCCCTTTAATTTTTTGAGACAGAGTCTTGCTAAGTCCCTAAGTTGTCGAGGCTGGACTTGAACTTGTGATCTTCCTAGCTCAGTCTCCCAGAGTGCTGGAATTACAAACATGTGCCCTTGTGCTCAGGTTTTCTAGTTCTGTATAAAATGCATAATAAGTTATCAACTGCAGTGATCCCACTGTACTGTAGAACATTAGAATTTATTCCTCCTAATTGTATTAAGGCACTTGTCATTTAGCTTCCCTCTACCCCGCTTCACTCCTGTCCTTCCTAACAACCTCTGGAGATCCCCGTTCTCTCTACTTTGAGGAATTCAACTTTTTAAGGTTTCATATAGGAGCAAGAATATGCAAAGTTTGTCCTTCTGTGCCTGGCTTATTTCACTTACTATAATGCCTTCCATTTCTATCCATGTTGTTGTGAACGACAGATTTCTTTCATTTTTTCCTGGCAGAGTTATATTCCACTGTTTATACATAACAACATTTTCTTTCTTTTTCTTTCTTTTTTTTTTTTTTTTGATACTGGGGATCAAACTCGGGACCTTTCGCTTGCGAGGCAGGCGGTAGAACCACTGAGCTAAATCCCCGGCCCAACATACCACATTTTCTCATCCACCTGTTTATCAGTTGTTGTATACCTGCACTGATTGCACATCTTGGTATTGTGGATAGTGCTCCAAAAAACATGGAGTGCAGGTGTCTTTAATATACTGATTTTATGTCCCTTGGGTATATCTCAGTAGTTCCATAGCATTTGTTCTATTTTTAATTTTTATTTTTTTGTACTGATGGTGAACTTGGGACCTTGCACTTGCGAGGCAGGTAGTGGCACCACTGAGCTAAGTCCCTGGCCCTCTATTTTTTTTTTTTTCTTGGTACCGGGGATTGAACTTGGGTCCTTGTGCTTGCGCAGCAGGCGGTAAAACCACTAAGCTAAATCCCTGGTCCCCTCTATTTTAAATTTGATTTATTTATTTATTTTTTATTTTTTGACAGTAGTAGTTTTTTGTTTTGTTTTGTTTTGTTTTTTTTGGTGCCAGGGATCGAACTTGGGTCCTTGTGCTTGCGGGGCAGGCGTTGGCATAACTAAGCTAAATCCCTGGCCCAACAGTAGTAGTTTTTTGAAGTATATATCTGTTATTGGATCTAATTTCTATAGTTTCATTTGCTTTTATTGTTACATGACTTTAACATTTAAGCCTGAAGTTAACTAATTACTTCATTGTTGTCAAATTTATTGGTTGTGGTATTATATTATAGTAATTTCATCTTTTTAAGTTCTCACTGCATGGAAATTTGAATTTTTGTCTTGACTTGGAATTGGCCTTGCATCTTCTAATAAAATTTAAAAGACCCACCAGCCCCACCTTTAAATCTGTTTCCCATAAAAATGCAGCAGCAGCATATGGCAGCCCTATTCTAGTGCCAAAAAGCTGGAAACAAAGTAAATACCCACTGCCAAAGCACTGATATTTACATACTGTGGGAAACATTACATAGCCGTTAAAAGAAAGTTAGGCCGTGTATGTTGACTTGGAAGCATAAGAGCTAGAGCAGGGTGTAGTGGTGCATCCCTGTAATCCCAAGTGCTTGGAAGCCTGCACAGGAAGCCAGCTGGGAATACAAAGCAAGACCCTGCCTTGAAAAAATTGAAAATAAACAAAAGCTAGAAGTGAGGTAGACTGTGCGATCTTAATTCTGAAACACAAAGGAAACCATATATAGCTCTTTAGGTATAGATATATAGCTATGGAGAGGAGTCCAAAAGACTAAAACCTCACAGAGATTCCAGCATTACAAAAACAAACAAGCAGACATTTCATATAGAGGGAATTTTTAATGAATGAGTAAATTAAAATTAATACTACAGTCAAAGCTTGGAGACCAGAAGATACCCCAGCAAAACTGAGTGAAACCAGCTAAGTGTGGGGCACTGAGAAATTCTAATATAAAACCAAAATTACTTATGGATTCTCACCAGTCCCTTTGGGGGAAAACTGGGGACTGGTATTTATATTTATACTGAGTGGTTTAGTGTTGTTAAAAAAAAATTCAGGGCCAGGGATTTAGCTCAGTGGTTACGCTGCCTGTCTTGAAAGTGCAAGGACCCGAGTTTGATCCCCAGTACCAAAAAAAAAAAAAAA